ACCCACCCACATGGCCACACATACATATGAATAAGTTAAAAAAATATTATGGGGTAAAAATAGTATCAAACACAAAATAGAATTTATTCCAAAATAGTATTTCTCACTCTCAGTCTTTGCAGAACAGAAATATCATTTTTTAAAAAGTTACCTCTAATCTGCCGGGCGGTGGTGGCGCACGCCTTTAATCCCAGCACTCGGGAGGCAGAGGCAGGCGGATCTCTGTGAGTTCGAGGCCAGCCTGGACTACCAAGTGAGTTCCAGGAAAGGCGCAAAGCTACACAGAGAAACCCTGTCTCGAAAAACCAAAAAAAAAAAAGTTACCTCTAATCTTAATTCCAAACTAATTTGAAATACGTGTTATTTCATCTTTAATATCATTAATCTCAGCTTGGACTATTGTTAAATTAGAGATTTTCTCCTTTAAGAATGCAATTTCTTTTTCTCTTTGGATTAAGTCAGACCCTAGCCTCCCGATGCGCAGTGTTAAATCATTTACCAGTGGTTCCAAACGCAAAAAGTCCTTCTTCAGATTGTACACCTTTGGTTTTAGATCATTTGCAAAAGCCACGGCTTTCAGAACTTTGGCTCTGTCGCTCTCTAAGCTTAAAAATCTGTCGGTGTGCTTGTCGAAGTCACCCTGGAGCTCAGCCAGCCCCTGGGCGAGCGAGTCAATTCTCCTGGAATTCTCACTCGCAGTCTTTCGAAGGGCCGCTGTTCGGTCGATGCTACTGGAGAGAAGATCGCCTATGTTTTCGATTGTCACTGTTTCTACTTTCCCGACCTTCTGTTCCAGTTCTTGCACCGAGTCGGCTAAGGATGCGACTTCTGTCACTAAACCGGAAATGCGGCGGAGATCTGTTTTCACACTCGTAATCTTGAGACCCACATCTTTGGCCGTGGAAGTTGTACCTTGGTCTACTTTTGTAATGTCTTGAGAAAGACTTGTTAACGAGTTACTCAATATCCCGTGTTTCTCGGTCATCCCGCTCGACCAAATTTTCATCTCGTGGATTTCTTCCTGCAGGAGCTTTAGTCTAGCCATTATTTGAAAAGCCTTTAGCTGTTCCATGAGAGCTTCACATTTCTGATACTATAAGGAAACACAGTGATTAAATTAGTCAAAATATGACATTGAAAATTCAACTTAAAATTCATGTCCCCCACCCCCACCCCCCGACTTTACTGCTCTTTGGGGGGCTCTGGGTTTTGAATCTCAGCACTGAAAAAAACAAAAAAACAAAACTCCAAAAGGAATTAGAAAAGAGGATTTAAAATAACTCAGATGTATTGCTAATAATGAATAAAGAAACTACTCAGGACATTTCATCAAACATTACTGGAAATGACTTTTCTTGATGGTTCTTATATCATTGGTCCTCTATACAGTAACAGGGGCGCTAATGAAGACAGGGATGTGTGTTCTTCGTAGCTAGAGAAGGGAAGAAGAACTCTGCAGAGGTGCTCTGGTATTCTTTAGGACTGAGAAGACAACATAACCTCTCTTTGTTTTTGCCTTTGTTGGTTTTGTTTTTTAGACAGGTCTTGCTCTGTTGCCCAAGCTGGTTTTGAACTTCTGGACTCCAGTGATCCTTCTGTCATAGCTTTCTGAATAGCCTGACTACAGGCGAGAGCTGGCTTTTCTTTCTTTGTGGTGTTGGAGACAGAACCAGAGCCTCATGCATGCTAGATAAGGTCTGCCACATGGCTACAGAGCAAGCATTTTTTAATTTTTTTTTTTTTAATTTAAAGACACAGTCTTGAGTCTTGCTATGCAGTCCTGACTGGTATGAAACTCCTTATGCCTCCACTTAAAAAAAAAAACAGTTTTATTAAGATATTGCAGGCATTTAAAAATGCTTTATTAATATATAACTGGGAGGCTGGAGAGGGTGCTTGCTGCTCTTGCAGAGGACCTGACTTTGGTTCTCAGCACCCATGCTAGGTGGCTCACAAGCCTCATAGCTTCAGCTCCAGGGGATCGCACAACATCATCTTGCCTACACAGGTACCTGTGTAGACGTGGCAGACACACAACACAGATAAATACACACACATATACACTTATGAAAATCTTTAAAAAGGATAATTGGCAGGGCTGGTGAGATGCTCAGTGAGCAGAGCTGCTTGTTGCCAAGGTGATAGGCCCCTGGGACCCACATGGTAGAAGGAGACAGCATACTCCCCAAAGCTGTCTCCGACTGCTACATGCTGTAGCTTTCCACTGACAGTAAAGCAGTTTGATCCAACAACTGTCCATGCTGCGTATCACATGCAAGCAGGATCAAGGCAGGCTCTGATTTCAGAGTGTTTACTATGTAGTTTTGGAAGCAGAGTGTCGAGAAACCGGTTATTTAAAACTCAGAGAAAAGACATGGGACCAAAAGAAGATAATGAAGGCTGAAGACATTTTTCATGAGATAAGATACACAGTTTAATCTGCAGGCATCAGGTGTTTTTCTAGAGCAAGCATACATTTCTTCAATGCTTTTGATGGGTTGTCATTCTTAGACTGTACTTACTCAGTTACCTTTTCAAGATCATTTTGGCTGATATATATATATTATCTAAGTAAAAATGTAATATGCTCAGAATAGTCTTTTGTGTGTGTAGGTCGGAAGTCAATGTGTGTTTCAAGTGGTTTTTACTATTGCTCTCCACATTTCTTTCTTTCTTTGTTTCTTCCTTCCTTCCTTCCCTCCATCTCTCCCTCCCTTCTTTCTTTCTTCCTTTCTTTTTTTTTTTTTTTTTTGGAGACAGGGTCTCACTATGTACCTTTGGCCTGAAATGTCCTATGTAGACCAGATCCATATGTCTTTGCCTTCTGAGAACTGAGATTAAAGGCTTGTGCCACCACACACGGCACTACCTTATTTTTTGAGACAAGGTCTCTCTATAAACATGGAGCTCACCAATTGGCTAGACTGGCTGGCCAGTGGGTTCCTAGGTTCATCCTATTTAAAGATTTATTTATTATTTTATTTATTTATTTATTATGTATATAGTGTTCTATCTGCACGCATGCCTGAATGCCAGAAGAAGGCATCAGATCTCATTATAGATGGTTGTGAGCCACTTTGCGGTTGCTGGGAATTGAATTCAGGACCTCTAGAAGAACAGCCAGTACTCTTAACTGCTGAGCCATCTCTCCAACCATCTATACCCAATTTTTGAAAAAAATAAAATAAAAAAAGTTTTTTTTTACATGTGTATACCTGTGTTAGTTTGGATATACTACATAGATCAGGAGCCCACGTGGGTCAGACAAGGGCCTCAGATGCCTTGGAAATGGAATTACAGGGAGCTGTGAGTCTCCACGTGGGTGCTGGGAGGCCCAGTAACACAGCTTCACAGAGTTAAACAAATGCAACATAAACAAAAGGAACGCACCTAAAAAATATATTCTCCTACAGAAGGGTTACAGTGATCTGCTGAAATGAGGTAGACCAGTTAACTCAAGGTAGCAAGTCCCCCTCTCTGCTCCATCACATGCTTGGTTTCAGTGTCTATTTAATTTCCCTCTTCGATAGCCCTATGCTTCATCAGTGATTGGTGGAGTAGGTGACCCAGAGTGTGCTTTTGGTAGAGAAGTCAGCTTGTGATGAAGTTATGGCGAGTATGACATTAATGAGTAGCTACAGACAGGAAGGAAATCTAGCAGTTGCAAACTATTTTATTTTTAGGGATCACGTTTTGCAGTACACTTACTTGCTGAAGAGTGTCCCATGGGTGAGAGGAACAGAAGGCTCCCTTTGTCTATTCGGTCTCTAGGCTGCCATTTGCTCGTGTATCTACCTCTGTGGAGTAAGCACAGCTTAACCGTATGGCTTGACTGAGACGTCTCAGAAAGAGCTCCTTCTCTTAGGAGGCCACGTCACTAGGGAGCCGCTTTGACTCATTTGGTGGCTTGGAAGAGGATTTATTATGAACTTCTAAAATGCAAACTCAATACAGTGTGCTAACAGACTAGAAACGGTAAAGTCCTTCGTTTTTTTCCCCCTACACTCTCCTTCCCTCCCTTCCCTTTTAGTGCTGGAGATCAAGTTCAGGACCCTGCATAGGACAGGCAGGTGCTCTTCTCTCAGCTACATCCCTAGCTATCCCTTTAAATTATATATAACTATGCATGTATGCATATGTGTATGTAGACACAGGCTGACCTTGAGCTCTCTGTGTAGTTGAGGATGACCCTGAATTTATGATCTTCTTGCTTCCATCTCCCAAGTGTTCAGGCCTGGTTTTATGCAGTGTTGGCTGGGAATAGAACCCAGTGCTTCAGGAATGCTAGGCAGACACTCTATCAGCTGAACCATCTCTCCAGCCCCTCCTGTAATTTTATTCTTTTATGGGCTGGAGAGATGGCTCAGAGGTTAAGAGCACTGGCTGCTCTTCCAGAGTTCCCCAGTTCAAGTGCCAGCACCCATCTATAATGAGATCTGGTGCCCTCTTCTGGCCTGCAGGCACACATGCAGGCAGAACACTGGCTATGTAATAAATAAATCATTAAAACATTCTTTTTATATATTACACGTATGGGTGTTTTGTCTGCATGTGTGTCTATGTACCACTTGCGTGTCTGGTGCTTGTGAAGGTCAGAAAGGAGCACTGAGCGCCTTGGAACTGGAATTACAGTTGTGAACTGCCATGTGGATGCCAGGAATAGGATCCAGGTCCTCTGGAAGAGCAGTCAGTGCCTATGGAGGCCAAAAGAGGGCACTGATCCCCTAGAGTTGGAGTTACCAGGAGATTGTGAACAGCTTTTTGCGAGTGCTGGGACTGAACTCTGGTTCTCTGCAGGAGCACTCTTAACCACAGAGCTATCTCTTCAGCCTCTTATTTTCTAAGACTTTTTTGTTGGTGTTCTGCTGTGTAGCCCAGTTTGGCCATGAACTTGGACTCTTCCTGCTTCAACCTGGAGTTACAGACATGCACTACCATGCCTAGCTGTAAAACTGCTTTATCTGTGCTGAAATTGTTAAATAAATGGACAGTAGTCTGTATGAGCTAATTGATATAAAATTTATTATCAATTACAGAGATACAAAAATGTATATTAGAATATTGGCAATTTTCATAAAGTACAACAAAATGAAGTCTGTGCCATTGCATATACCTGTGACCCCTATTACCTGAAATGCAGAAGCAAGAAGATGGTGAGTTAAGACTAATCTGGGGTACATACTGAGACCTTGTCTGAAAAATAAAATAAAAAGCTCCAAAACACACAAAAGAGAAACAAAGGAAGATTCATTAAATGTATCTAGACCTCCCCAATGACAATTTTGATAAATAAGAAATAAAAAACACTTATTTTATGCATATGAATGTTTTGTACATACATATGTATGGATATGTCTGTGCACCACATGCACGACATGCCTGGTGTTTGCAGAAGTCAAGAATGTGCCAGATACCCTGGAAGCCGAGTTCTAGATGGTTGTGAGCCATCACGTGAAGACTGGGAATCAAACCCAGGTCCTCTGCAAGGACAACCAGTGCTCTTAACCACCGAGTCACCTATTCAGCCCCAGTGCAAATTTCTTTTTTTGTTTTTTTTCTAGACAGGGTTTATGCTACTGCCCTCCCATAGCCAAAATAGTTTATTAATTGCTTTGATTACAATTTTGAGATCTCTGTCAGCTTCAGGTACCTCTTTGTTTCAGCTATGATGCACTCTGAAGCCTGTAAACATACCTCCCAACATTAAGATTAAAAGAATTTAAATTAGCTGGGCTACTGGGACTCAATGGTTTTTCTTAATCATTAACTTAAGCCATAGTCTATACGGCTCCTCAGTAGAAACTCATGTGTTCTAGCTGTGTGACACTTCCTTGTTTTATTTTTTTATCATAAAAAATCTATTTAAACTAACATTATTATTATCAATTGGACAGTACAGCTTAAGAAGAAATCATCTTCATAATAATCCACAGGTAAAAATGCCCAGTAGAAAGGGATGTTTCCATGAGATAAACACACTACATTACCGGCAGTGGGGATCTCCCCACACCTACACCATGCCAGATATCAGAGAAAGATGGCAGCAGCAAACATGTGAAGGCACAGCAGAACAAAAGACACTCTGGAGCCTGTGGTCTTGGGGCCTTGTCTATCTGAGATTCACCCATCAGGGATTCGCCTCCTGGTGCGCTGACACCCTGAAGTCAACTGCCATCCGAAGGTCCTCTGACATGTCACCAGCAGGTTTCCCTGTGTAACCCTGGCTGTCCTGGAACTTGCTCTGTAGACCGGGCTGGCCTCAAACTCATAGAGACCTGCCTGCCTCTGCCTTCCGAGTGTTGGGATTAAAGGCATGTAACACTACTGTCCGGCTTGACAAATTTCTTAGAGTGATACATAGACACAGATATTTCAATAGTTTTCTCATGTAATATTTGCATTCTGGCTCTGCCTTCCAGTGCTAGGATTATAGGCCGCCACTGCTGGACCCAACATCTCATGTCAGTGCTGGGTGAACTCGGGGCCTCATGCTTTCACAGCAAGTGCTTCACCTGCTGAGCTATCTCCTGGCCTTATTACTATTATTATTATTATTATCTGAGACACAGTCTCACTGTGTAGACCAGGCTGGCCTTGAACTCATAGATCTGCTTGCCTCTGCCTCCTGAGTGCTGGGATTAAAGGTGTGCACCACCAAGCCTAGCTCCAGCTCTAATTTTTTTAAAAATAAAATCAGTATGTAAAACAAACAGTTTCATAAGTTGGGGAATCCATAAAATAATGACATAAATGTCATAATCATCATAATTTATTGTTACATTGTTTTATCTTTAAAGCAGGCACAGGCTTATTGCATATTTGTATTTTAAGTATCTATTAGCTAGTCAGTGAATGCCAGTGACACAAAATTCAAGCTTTAGAAATTAAAGTCAGCACACAAAGGCACTCCGTACACTCATGCTTCAAAGCATAACTAGTCAATAGAAAATACTAATGAGGATAAAGTAAGAAGACATTTGTCAGGGACAAGGATAGAATCTCTAGTTAGTGGAAAAATACAGACCCCCATAAGACAGGGAACTGGATTGTCTTACAGTCAGGTTGCCTAGCAACAGGACATTGAGGCAGAGCTCTTGACCCTTTCACCCTGTGGGCATCCTATACAAACATCCTGATAGCTCGCTCCACCTTATGCAGATGACAGCTTCTTGCTCCCCCCACCCTGCAGGAACTATATAAACCCTCCTGGAGAAAAATAAAGTTGCACCTTGATCAGAATCTAGACTTGGTGTATTTCCTTGTATCTCCTATCTCTATCATTCCGTCCTTAGGGTGGTCGAGAACCCGTTGTAGCCCTGCAGGCGGGGCAGACATTTACTCACATGTTAAACTTCTAAGTGTCTGGAACACAGTTGAGAACCTTTGCAAAAAGGAAACTACTTCCCAGGCGCCACAGTTTTCAGAACGTGCCGTTACCTCAGAGAAGAGCCCCAGGCTCCCCTGCAGGCCTATTATCTTCCACTTCACATGAAATTCCTAGGAACTTGTCGTCTGAATGTGAAAAACCGGCAGAGGCAGGCATGCTATCAACTGACTGCAAGAGCGGGAGGCAGAAAAGCATGAGAAACAGACACAGCTTGGAAAAACGGAAAACTAGGGTCACACAGTGAAACGGTAAACGGCCTCAATATTTGCTATAGGTATCTATATATAGATATCTATGTCTCTCTATACATATATCTCTGGTGTAATAAATGCAATTCAAGCTGGGCGGTGGTGGCACACGCCTTCAATCCCAGCACTCGGGAGGCAGAGGCAGGAGGATCTCTGTGAGTTCCAAGTCAGACTGGGCTACCAAGTGAGTTCCAGCAAAGGTACAAAGCTACACAGAGAAACCCTGTCTCGAAAAACCAAAAGCAAAAAATGCAATTCATAATAATGTCTATTAACTATTGGAAAGACATGTAAATATTAAATATATTGCCTAAAAAGTAGAGCAATATATATTTTAGAACTATTTCTTTCTTTCTGTTTCTTTTTCTTTCTTTTTTTCTGAGAAAGTGTTTCTCTGTGTAGCCCTGGCTGTTCTAGAACTCACTCTGTAGACCATGCTGGCTTTGAACTCAGAGATCTGCCTGCTGCTGCCTCTGCATGCTGGGATTAAAGGTGTGCGCCACCACCTCCCAGCAGAACTATTTCTATTTAAAATGGTTAAAATAAGTTTTAGAGCTTAAAAAGAGAGAACTCTGATTATGTGCACACGCCATGTGGTCCACACTCCACTTATTCTCTATAAAGTGAGGCAGAGAAAAATGACTGAAAAAACAGAACTGACTGATTTCCAATGAATAATACAGTCCATCAAAAGTGTGCAGGGAACCTAATAATCATCAGCTCCCTTATTTTCTAGGTCATATTTCCCCAAAGTCCCCTTCTCTCTTGCACTTGAATATGCTATGAAATCGTGAACTTTCCCTTTCAGAACAACCAGTTCGTTTTGCATCTTTAATATGCTATTGTCGTACTGAATTCCCTCCAGGGTCGTCTGCATCTCCATTATATCAGACACTGCCCTTAGCATGTCATCTTCCATGTTAAACATCTGCAGAGTCAGGTCTTCCATTTTCTTTTCTGTCCCCATCAGATCCTGAGAGACTCTGAGAATGGAGTGGATCGCATTTTCTACAGCTGGCAAATGTGCCTTGCACTCCTCAACTTTGGGTTCGTAGTTGGCAAGTTTACTGGTCAGATCTTCATCTCTGGCTAGGAGAGCGTGCTGTTCTTCTTCCAGCTTTTCAACTGCTTTCGAATCAGAGCTCAGCTGTGCCTGCACTCGGAGAAGGTCTTCCTCTTCTTGCCTGCTTACTGTTCTGACGTTTCGCAGGGTGCTGTCTTCCAAATCTTTCAGCCGGTCAGTGAGCGATTTCATTTCTTGCTCAGCTGAGTTAATTTTCATGGTTACTTGAGAATGTATATGCTTTGCTTCTGATTTGAAAATGGCTGTACTATTGCTCATTTCTGCCAGAGTTCTCTTCCAGAAATCTGTAATGTTCTGGAATTTCTCATTAAGGTTTTGCATCTTCTGTGTGAGCATCTCTTCACTATTCTCAATGTCCTGTATGGATCTTTGGAGGCCAGATACTTCCTGTTCAAACTGGGTCATCAGAGCCATGGATGATGTAGCTTCCTGCAGGATACTTTCAGTAGACTCAAGCTGCATTTACGACACAAACAACCCCGAGCCACTTAATCATTTTTATATTAGAGAAACATGTTAACAATCAGGAGTGTAACATATACAAGGTACAAAATTCCGAAGACACCTAAAATATCTAAGTCCATCAGAATCACACAGACAGAAACATCTATCATAAGTAGTTTTTAACAAATTTAATAGAGTAGCCCTATGTTGGAAAAATGTATACTTGAACTCACAGTCCTAGTTATTCAACGTATCTTTGTCATGAGGGCATAGTCAAAAGAAATGATGCTAACATTTTCTGAAGTATATTGGAGTTTCTTTTTTCATAACAATGGAAAGTAACGTAGATGTCATTTTTATGGCTATTTGGCTTTTAGGGAACTGCAACTGTGTAAAATTTGCTACCTCTTCTGAAACCTATGATTTTGGAAGTTTCTGGCTGAACTGCTATTATTATTTTTGCTAACCTCTTGCAGACAAAGAACTAGAAGTAGATGGCAAAAAGGCAGAAATGAATTTTTATAATAGTAGTTGAGACAAGCCACATCAAATGGCAGTGTGAGCCTGCAGGGCTTCTTAGAATGGGCTGGGATATTTGGAAGGGCCATGCCATGGACTTTACTAGTCTCCACCCTCACATGGATAAAAGCTTTAGAGATGATGAAAAGACCTAGAAATGATTATTCAGCTTTCAAGTGTTTGCAGCACTGTCCTGAGACAGAACACTGAAGGGGGCACAGTTCTGCCCTGCAGCAGCTTACTTAGGAAGCAAAGCAATCTGCACGCACTAGAACAAGGGGAGACATATGGAAACACTTGGTGGAGTACTGACCCAGACTTCAGTGCCCAAGCATAGTATCCCAGAAGTACTATCTATTATTCATGTCCTCTCTAAGTCATTTTACATACTACTTAGCAGATTAAGCTTTTGAAAACTACTAAGCACATCATGGGGTAGCATTAAAAAAAAAAACCTTAGGGGCTGGAGAGATGGCTCAGAGGTTAAGAGCACTGACTGCTCTTCCAAAGGTCCTGAGTTCAATTCCCAGCAACCACATGGTGGCTCACAACCATCTGCAATGAGATCTAGAGCCCTCTTCTGGCCTGCAGACATGCAGGCAGAACATTGTGTACATAATAAATAAATAAATCTTAAAAAAAAAAAAAAACCTTGGATGATTCCTAATACTTTTAAGTCAAGTTCACAGCCTTGGTTCTAATAGTCAGAAGGTCTTGCGGTACCTATTGTATTATTGGTTGCCACATACAGTGCTGTGAATGTTCACTTTTGCCAAACCTTGTGCAAGATGCTGCTGATAAAATATTAACTGGATGGAGCAGACGATGCTTTAGATCTTCTGATCAGACAGTCTAGGGTCCTGATGAGAACTATGAGCATCCCCTAGGAGCTAGTTCTGTTTCTAGGTGTTAGAGAGACAGGAAAGATGCAGTGCTTGCTCTAAAAGGGAGGACAGGAGTCAAAAAACAAACAAACAAGCAAACCATTAAAAAACCCAGAAGGGTAACATCAGTGGGATGACAGACTCAACGCACAATGAATGTTCAGAGGAGATGTAAGAAGTCAGGAGAGTGAAGGGGGGAAGCTTAATGTGACTGAAATCTGCCTCAATGGGCTGGTTAATTGGCCAGGTAAAGAGCTCTAAATTCCTTCCAGGAAGAGACCATGCCTTATATTTGTTGTGCTGTGATTAAAGGTGTGCGCCACCACTGCCCGGCTCCTATAATATATATATATATATTTTTTCAGAGCTGAGGACCGAACCCAGGGCCTTGCGCTTGCTAGGCAAGTGCTCTACCACTGAGCTAAATCCCCAACCCTCCCATATTATATTTTCATATCTAAAGATCAACTATACTTGTTTAGCCACGGCTGGTCAGGAACTTGCTATGTAGACCAGGCCGGACTTGGACTCACAGGGATTTGCTGCCTCGGCCTACAGAGTGCTGGGATTAAAGGCGCGCGGCCAGGCCCGGCTGGAAATGGTTTACCTTGTCTGAAATTAAACTGATTTTATTCCGTAGGCCTTGAAACCCGCCACTTTCTGTTTGCAGTAACTGGTACTGGTTTTCCATCTTCGCAAACTTTTCCGATTGTTGAAATACAAGCCTGGAGAAGAAGAAAAGAATGCCTGTCACTCACTTCCAACAAGAACGATTGTAGACAAAATTCTAAACAGTCTTAGTACATAAGAAACACAGAGCCAAATACAGAGGAAATAGCCAAAGAGATCAGAGCAAGAGCCACGACTAGCTTTAGCTTACCGCCAGCAGTAGCTTCCCCAGATAGAGAGTTTTTTCCTGCCTGACTTGTTTTTTTAATTGCCTTTCTGTTCTGCCTTCTCATTGGGTCTAAACCCAACCACATCATTTCCTCGGTACTGCCTGTCTATACAGACCTCCAGGTCTCTATGGCTGGTACTGGGATTAAAGGCTCGTGTCACCATGCTTGGCTGTGTCCGTGACCACACAGAGACTCTGCTTGCTATGTGATCAGATTAAGGGCGTGTGCTACCACCGCTGGACTTCTGCTTAATGGCTATTTGACCTCTGATTTCCAGGCAACTTTATTTATTAACATACAAATAAAATATTGCATTTTATCACAAATAAAATAAAACCACAAATGATGTGCATTCTCGAGTGGCTGCTGCAGTGTTTGTGGGCTGACTTCACCACTCAGGTGCTGACTATGTGGAAGGGGTCGGGATTAACGCACTGCAAAGATGACTCAACATTGCCTCTCTGCAGGGTTCACAGCTCAGTGAGTGAGGCAGAGTGGCATCGCTAACAGATGTATGAAAAAGAAGTATTCTGGAAGAAGTCAGAGTTGAACTATTTGGAATAAAAACTCTGTTCTCAATCCCCAGCACTACGAAGCTATTATAGTCCCTCAAACTGAGACTATGGTATGCATGCCTGTAACTGTATTATTTAGGGAGGAGGAGGCAGGAGGACCATAAGTTCAAGGCCATCGTCCATTACATAGTGAGTTGAGGGCTCAAAGGCCAACTGGGGCTCCATGAGACTCTGTTTTAAAAAAAGTTATGAAGAGATAAAATATAGAAGAGGGCCATTGTCAAAGTGATAGTAGAATATGCATGCAAAGCAGGCTATAAACACTCTGTATCTGATATACTCCACAACATGCTCATAGGAATCCTGTAGATGTCATTCTAAATGAGGGTTCAGGATGTAGGGAGATGGCTCAGTTGATAAAGGGCTTGCCATGTAGGCATGAGGACCTGAGTATGATCCCTAGCACCCACATAAAAAGCTTGGTGGTACCCTTGTAATCCCGGAGCCAGGGAAGGAGAAAGAGGATCAGCCTAAGCTTATCAGTGAGACCCAGATCTTAGTGGGAGACCCTGTCTCAAAACCCAAGGTTGCTGGCTTCTGAGGAGTGATGACAGAGGTTGACCTCTGGCCTCCATACATTCACACATGCACACTCACACACCCACACACAAAGTGAAATTAGGGCTGAGGGTATAGCTCAGTGGTAGGGGGAGTGCTTATCTGACATGTCAAAGCTCCCAGCTTTGAAGCCAGCATGTAAGCAAACAAAATTGGAGTGTTCTCTTCATCTGGGAAGTAGTAAAGAGCAGAAACAAAACAAAACAAAAAAAAAAAAAGAGAGAGAAGAGCTATCCTTGGGCTGGTGAGATAGTGGTTAACAGCACCAGGTTGCTCTTCTGGAGGATACAGCTTTTAATCCCAGCACCCACATGGTAGCTCACAACTGTCTGTAACTCCAGTTCTAGGGGATCCAATGCCCTCTCCTTACCCCCACTGGCACCAGGCACACATGTGATGCACATACACGCAGGCAAAATACTCATACACATAAAATAAAGCTACCCCAATGTCTTAAGACTCTGATGCTTTACTGAGGTAGCCAGACACTTTAACCTAATCTTTGAAACAATAAAGGAACATATTTTTGTAGATCTGAAATGAGTAGGCACAAAAGGAATGCCTTAGGTTTAATATCATTTTGGTTATCTACTTTAACTCAGTTCTCCAGGCTCAGAAAAGGCAGTTCACCCTTTTTGTACAATGAGTCATCAAACAGCGAGAGAGCAGAATCAGAAGTGCCTAAGCCGCAGAATCTATATTAGCAGTTACAAATCTTCCCTACATATTGGAATCAATTACTAGGCAGCTCTAACACATCCATGACTGCGTCCCCCATTTACAGAGATTCTTAACTAATTAGTCATGGATATGGCTTGGATACTGACAAGTCGAACAGCTTCCCAGGCAATCTGAGTATGCAGCCAGGCTGAGGAGCACTTGCCAATCATAGTTTATAAATACTTTTCCAGGGAAAGACAAGAGATTCCAAAGCTTCCCAGAGAGTTGAGAGACCTTTCAAAGTGCAGCTGTGAGTATCCTCAAAGGCGCCAGTGTTTTGAATTTACAGTGATCTCACTGGGTTAACTACTTGTAAGACTGTGTAAAACTGTCTTTTTGCTAAACAAATATTACAAAGTTAGATGAAATACGTTTCTTTTGATGATGCAGGTTAATGTCTAGCATATAATTCCAGTTTATAGAATTAGTAGAGATCAACGTCTCTTTTGTGTATTAATATGAACTTTTAAACAAAACTCATGTTAAAAAGCATTATTTTCCTTTTTTTTTTTTTTTTTTTTTTTTTTTTTTTTTTTTTTTTTGGTTTTTCAGAGACAGGGTTTGTCTGTGTAGCTTTGCACCTTTCCTGGAACTCGCTTTGGAGACCAGGCTGGCCTCGAACTCACAGAGATCCGCCTGGCTCTGCCTCCCAAGTGCTGGGATTAAAGGCGTGCACCACCACTGCCCAGCTATTTTCCTAATTTTTAAAGATGGACGATGGTTAGACAATTTTTCCTCCCCCATCTTTTTTTTTTTTTTCTTTCTTGTTGTTGCTGGGAACAAACCTAGATCCTGGGGCATCCTGGACAAGCACTCTACTACTGAGCTACATCCCCATAATTGCTTTATTGTTGTATTACGAATTTTACGTTTCTTTTTCCTCTTTCTTAGTATAGGCTGTCACCCATAAAAATGAGTTAATTTCAATGACTAGTTTTATTGTCTGTTATTGCATTGTTACTCCATAAACTTATCCTATAGAGGAGCAAGTTTACTCAGAATAAAAACATTACTATAGGAGGCTTTGAGTAAAAGTTGATCCATTATAAAAATGCCTGAGCCCGGAGAGATGGCTCTATAATAAAGAGCCCTTGCTGTTATTCCAGAAGACCCAGTTCAGTTCCCAGCAATGATGTCCAGAGGCAGACAGCACGCACGTGTGCACACACACACACACACCACAGAGATTTAAAAAATAAAAACAGCCTTACAGCACTCTTTTTCCTTTTCTTTCTTTCTTTTTTTAAAGTTTTTGAAGTGCTATAATTGATGATTGGTCAAAGTACATAATTTCCACTTTCCTCATAAAAAGTAGAAGGGCTCAGAACTAGCTTTCAATCTCTCTCTCTCTCTCTCTCTCTCTCTCTCTCTCTCTCTCTCTCTCTCATGTGTTTATTTATGTATTTATTTATTATCAGCTTGATACAGTATAAATTCTTATCCTAATAGTGAAATGTTTCACTATTGAAATGTTTGAGGCTTGCCCAGTAATTGAGTAAAACCAAAACTTATTATTAGCCACAGTCATCCTAGGGTCCCCCCTGCCATATAGCCTCCCTGGATCTGTGGGTTGCAGTCTGATTGTTCTTTGCTTTATGTCTAGAATCCACTTATGAGTGAGTACATACCATGTTTGTCCTTCTGGATTTGGGTTACCTCACTCAGGATGATATTTTCTAGTTCCATCCATTTGCCTGCAAATTTCATGCTGTCATTGTTTTTCTCTGCTGAGTAGTACTCCATTGTGTATATGTACCACATTTTCTTAATCCATTCTTTGATTGACGGGCATCTAGGTTCTTTTTTCTTTCTTTCTTTTTCTTTTTATTTTTTGTAGGCGGTGTCTCATGTAGCTCAGGCTGGCCTCAAACCACTGTGTAGCCAGGATTAACTAATCTCTTGAAGCCCTGATCTTCTTGTCCCAGCCTCCCAAGTACTGAGATTACAGGATTAAGCAACCATGCCTGGCTAAGGGTTTTTTATTATTGGACTGTTTACTGTTGTCTTTCTCTTCAGAGTCAAGCATTAATGCTTGCATAGTGTCAGGTTAGTGGAAATACCTCTGATACTTTCCTCCTCCTTCTCCTCCAGGTTAGCCTCTCACACCCTTGCTACAAGTAGATCATACACACAAGCAGCACACAGCTGACGTAGTGCTAGTGATGCAGGAAAAGGAAGATGTGGTCCACACAGTGCATATACCCCATCAACCCAAAGGATGCTCCATCATACCACAAGGACACTAGCTCAACTATGTTCACAGCAGCATTATTCATAACAGCCAAAACCCGAAAACAATCTAGATGTCCCTCAACTGAAGAATGGATAAAGAAAATGTGGTACATTTACATAATGGAGTACTACTCAGCTGTTAAAAACAATAACATCAGGAAATTTTCAGGCAAATGGATGGAACTAGAAAAAAAAATCATCCTGAGTGAGGTAACCCAGACCCAGAAAGACACACATGGTATGTATTTACTCATAAGTGGAAATTAACTATAAAGGATAACCATGCTACAATCCACAGCCCCAGAGAGGCTAGGTAACAAGAAGGGCCCAAAGAGGGATGCATGGATTTCCCTGGGAAGGGGAAATAGATCTCCTAGGTAGATTTGAGGCAGGTGGGCATGGGAACTTGAGGGGTTGGGTTGGAGGGTGGATGGCGAGGGGAGAGTATTAAAAGAGATGTCTTGATATGGGGGGCATTTGGGGATCAGGTAGAAACCTGGTGCCAGGGAAACTCCCAGGAATCTACAAGGGTGACCCCAGCTAAGACTCCTAGTGATAGTGGATACATAACCTGAACTGGCCATCTCCTGTGATCAGATTGGTGACTACCACAACTGTTACCAAAGAGCCTTCATCCAGTAACTGATGGAAAAGATACAGAGACCCACAGCCAAACATTAGGTTGAGCTCAGGGAATCCTGCTGAAGAGAGGGAGGAAGGACTGTAGCAGCCAGGGGGTCA